TTCTCTGTGAATCTCTGTTAAACTGTAATGTATTTCTGTGATGCGCAGCTGTATTTTCAGCATCATTCCTCCAGTCTTCAGTGTCACATGATCTTCAGAAATCAGTATAATATGCTGATCTGCTGCTCGAGAAACATTTCTGATTATTATCAATGTTGAAAACATTCATATTTTTATGGAAACCGTGATGCATTTTATTTTTCAGGATTCACAGATGAACAGAAAGTAAAAAAAACAGCATTTATTTGAAATAGAAATCTTCTGTAACATTATAAATGTCTTTACTGTCACTTTTGATCAATTTAATGCATCCTTGATGAATAAAAGTGTTATTTTGTTGTTGTTTTTAAAAATTATACCCCCAAACTTTTGAATGGAAATGCATCACAGTTTCCACAAAAATATTGTGCAGCACGACTGTTTTCAACATTGATAATAATCAGAAATGTTTCTTGAGCAGCAAATCGGCAGAATAAAATTCAAGTATAGGGCTATATAAATACACACACACACACACACATTTAATATGAATTCAAATGAAATATTAAGCATTAAATTAATTTTAAACATTTAAATGAAAGAGGAAAACATATTAAGTTGTACTATATAAGTTAGACATCTGAAGGAAGAGGAATGGAGTATTTTGGCCTGCTCTTCAGCAGAACTGCGCAAGCCATGAATAAGTCACACGCTTCTGACTCGAGGGCTGTAACAGACAGTGACAGGAGGAACCGTGGGCTCAGACCATCTTTGGGGAGCAGCTGCCCCTTCAACAGCGTGTCTGCTGAAATAATGAGAGCTGATGAGGCGCTGGAGCCCTAAATACACGTTTGCATGGCTCTGCGGCTCTGAAAGGTTAGATGTAGGTAAACCTGCTGGTATAGTGACAAGCACTCACAGCGTCTGCTGAATAAATAATCGCCCCAGCGCTGGCACACCATAGTGCTCATCAATGTTTCAGCCATGCATCGCAGTTACTTACTGGCTATGCATGCGAGTATGAGCGAGTCCAACGCTATCTGACTATTCAGAGCTCGCATTTCTTATTCATCATATCCTGCTAGAAAGACTAGTGCTTCTGTGCTCGCTGACCTTCAGTCGGGTCAGTTGAAGAATCCAGCAGTGCTTATTTACCTGCGAGAGAGCCAGCAGATTCCCACAGTCTCGGCCTGAGAAGCAGGAGCGCAGGCGAGTCCCATCGTGTCTCACAGATGTCTTCAGACGCACCGTGACACATCTCCACCGAGTCTGGAGGACTGTGAGTCTGATTGTAGAAGTGCACGAGCGAAACAGATGCCGCTGACCCAAATCCAAGCATATCATATCATGAATAAAGCGATATGTGCATGAAAGAAGTGTTGGTCATTCCTATAAAGTGAAGCAAGTTCAAGTTTCTTCAAATATTTACATATGTTGTAATATTTACAATAGCAAATATTTATAATATTTGTAGTAAACTGAAATAAATCTGGTGTAGAAACTAATTTCATTCAGAAATTATTAGTAGCTACATTTCACAAATAATTACAAAGAAACATCAAATAAGACATTTTGACGTAGAAAACTGAATTAGTATTTTCTTGTAAAACTCACTCCATTCATCTTTTCACTTACAACAACTTTTTTAAGTGTATTTTTTTA